CAGTGCGAAGTCGGCGATGCTCAGCACACACTATAAGCATAACTAAAGTTTTGCCAGGTACCAGAAGAATCAAATGAATGCTAGAACTACTGGTAGGCTGACCATTGGTCAGAACACGAGTGGTCAAAGCAGCTGTGGGAATGAAAAAGTTGCGAGCTTTGTAAATGCTATCAAACGAACAGCTACTCCAGTACGCCAGGACAGTTTTACAAACAAAATAAATTTTCATCAAAGTGATGATTGATATAAAATACAGTTCTTAAAATTCAAATGCTAAAATTGTTTTCCCTACTGAACGATTGCCTGTTTTAGTCGTGACACTAATTCGCTGCGCGAGTTGGAAAATGACAAAGCTTTGCTAGAAATATACTGCTAAAAGGTAACACCCTTCGATGCGAGCGCCGAGGGATCTTATACAGAGATGCAGGAATTAATGACTTATTAATTCAAACAGCTTCTTCATAATGCATTTTAATTATGCAAAAACACACAAAAGAAACTGTTTAGTAAATTGATTTATTTAATTAATGTGAGTGTTTTCGAGCCTTCCTCAGATCATGGGCCTTCTGGAATTTTATCGTTTCATACGTAAGCCTCCATCACCTTCAATATTTTAACTTCCAGCTAATTTTAATATCCTCTCGGCTAAAATTTGTGCCCATTAATTAAATTTGCCCATTAGGCAAGCATCTTGTCCTTTGGATGATTTTCTTGTTTTTGCTTCAAATAATTTTATGTTTTTTCTTCAGTGACCGTTTCCACGTGTCATTAGCTGGTTTTACTTGAACAGGAGAGCCTTTTCGAAACGTTTCCTGAAGCCATGCTACTTTCCGTTTTTCCTTTATTTCTCCGTCTCTTCTCTTCACTATGCTATTTTTGACGAAGTTGCGATCTGATTCCAACTCCAAGTGATGATGATGAAGAACTGCATCATTTTTGTGGTCGACGACGGCGAGCAGCGCGTCTGCTGCATGAAGAATGCAGAACTACTCGATTTTGGCATGGATTTCAATCAGGGAGGCGCCCTGGGGGGTTACTTAGGCTCTTTTGTCATGCGCTCTGGAATTGAGCGACGGCGGTATTCTGGCACCGATATTTTCAACGTTATCCTGACGCGGTACATTCTCGCTATGTATCCTCGACATTATCTGTCGATGCTACCTTCTAACGCCACCTGCCGACTTCGACGCTATGTGTTCACACTTTCTTCACGCTGATGCTATTGATAAACGTCTTTCTCCGCAGCAACTGTTGAAAATCACAAAAAACTGCATGATTCAACGGCAAAGATAAAGTCATCCTCGGCAAGCTTTGCTTTGCTCAAAAGTCCATCATATTACTCTTATTTTGCAAAATTTTCGCTTTGCTCCCTCGACTACGGATCGAACTTATGATGTTTTTCTCTATTTTCCTCATTTTGCTCGGTTGAAAATTCAAGATACCTAAGGAAAGATTTGGTGACCGGATATGGTAGGCAAATCCTGCGATAACTAGGTCACCTCAAATTTTGGAATCATCCTACTTCATCCGACAACAGTTTCAAAAAAAGTTCCCTCTACAC